TTGAACTCACTTTTGTAGCCAAGGCTGGGCTCAAACTCGAAGTGATGCTTCTGCCTCGGCCTCCTGAGTGCTGGGATTACAGGTGTGCACCACCGTGCCTGGCCCTGGCTTCATCTTTTATTTTTAGAAATTGATTATTTGAAGCTGAGCATGGTGGTAGACACCTGTAATCTCAGCCACTCCAGAGGCTGAGGCAAGAGGATTTCAAGTTTGACCCTATCCTAGGAAAAGCTTGTCTCAGAGAGGGGATGGGGATGGGGTTGTAGATAGTAGAAGGCCCCTACATCAATCTGTAGGAACATTTAAAGGAAGAGAGTTCTGTCTAGACTTAGCATATGATTTATACTCCCAGTAGATTTCTCCTTGGTTCCCCTCAGCAGTCACCTATAAATATTGTCAAGAATGATACTTTTTTGTTTGGTTTTTTGGCTTAAATCTACACAAAATTACTATTTTACTGTTTTGGAGGTTAGAAGTAGAAAATCAATCTCAGAGAGCTAAAATATTCTTTTCTCAAGTAAAAGGCTTATTTTTAGTTTATGATTTAGCTATATTAAGAAAGTGAGGAGAAGCTGGGTACAGCGGTGCACACATGTAACCCTCGATACTTGGGAGGCTGAGGCAGAAGAATCACAAATTTGAGGACATTCTGGGAAATTTAGTGAGAACTTGTCAAAATGAAATTAAAAAAAAAAAAAAAGGCTGGGGTTGCCGCTCCAGGCCTAGTGTTTAGGAGGCCCTGATACAAACTGTACTACCACACACATACATACATATCTACATCCCTAAGACTATCAGAGCCAGCTGGGCTCAGTGGCACAAACCTGTAATCCCAGCACTTGGGAGCCTGGGGCAGGAGGATTGTTGTGAGTTTGAGACCAGCCTGGGCTACAAAGTAAGCTCAAGGCCTCAATGCCAGCGTCAACTATACAGAGAGATGCTGTCTCAAAAAGACAAAAAAAAAAAAAAAAAAAAGAGCCAGGAAGATAGCTCAGTAGAATAAGCACTTCCCTAGCAAACCCAAGGTTCTGAGTTCAATCCCCTGTTCCGCAAGACGGGGATGAAGGCGCCATAGATTTATTCCTTGGGGCCAGGAGATAGCTCAGTAGAATAAGCACTTCCCTGGCAAGCACAAGGGCCTGAGTTCAATCCCGAGTTCCGCAAAACAAAACAAAACAAAACAAAACAAACAACAACAACAAAATACATATATGTATGTATATCAGTGCTATCAGTGCAGATATGATATTAATAAATATTTCAGGCTTTTTTAAAAGAATGGTAGGGCTGGTGAGATGGCTCAGTGGT